CTTGGTTCCCATTTTATGAAATTCATCCCTTAAGAGCACACAGCTAACGATAGCTGAGCATCACAACGGCTCTGGACTGGATTCTGGACCAGAACTGCAGGTAAAACATGAATGGTCCAAGAGTGACAGGAGATCACGGCTGATGTCCTTCTGTTGACCACCAAATGGTGGTACCCTAAGAGAACGCCATGCTTTGATGTAACACGTACCAATCAGAGACAGACAGACATCATCCAGGGCAACTTACTCCCAAGGCCTCCAGACTTTTGCTGACAGGACACAAGGAGGCGGGTGACACCAAAGAACCTTTTGAGGAACTGGGTGAAGGTGTCACCAACACCAGCTTATTTCAGAGTGCTGAGAACTAAGTGACAGAGCCCGGAACCCAGTGGACAGCCAGGAGAGAGGAATCCCTGTAAGAATCAAGTGGGACTCAAGGCCAACGAGCCAACTGCAAAGTGCCTGCAACCACTCTTCATGCTGTTCCAGGGGCCATGGTGGGCCAGGGACAAGCAGAGGCAGCAGCAGCTGCTAGGTCCGGAAAACCCTGTTGCCTCTCAAGCTTGATCAGCTCAGCCACCGCAGGCCTGTGAGGCAATGCTCACCCCATGGAAAGTAGGGCTTGCCACATGGCACACGGCAGCCTCTGGCTACAGGCGTCTTGCTCCCTTGCAGCTCCTGCCGACTCTCCCTGTAGCCTCGCCCCTGGCTGATACAGGTCAGACTCCCGGTGGAGATAACACACTTCCCCCCAAGGAAAGTCCACGAGACTGTCCCTTTGGTGGACAAGGGATGGTGAGATCGTATGGGTGCAGCAGCTACCCCACAGGGTGGTAAAGAATCGAGGAGGGCTGGGTGTTGATAGGACAGGGAAACAACGGCTCTCACCCTGAGATGAAGACCATATGCCCACACAGAGGTTCTGCTGCCCCAGCTCTCCCACCTATGCCCACCTGGTGTCCATGAGCTCAGCACTGATACCAAACCCAGGCTGCCTTGATACCACAGATCCTGGACGCTCTCGTGCTGACCCATCCTCTGGAGCTGTCGGGACCCAGGGAAGGCCAACTGTCAGCCTTCAAGTTCCCTCTTTCCCGAGGACCCAGGGAGGGGCCTCCGTGCACCACTGCACCTTGCTCTACCAGGCACCCATCCAAGGTTTGTGTCCCTAAGGCTTCTTATCTTGGTTTCCTACCCTGTGCTTTTGCTCAGATGACCCCCCAGGACGGCTCCCTTCTTGCTCATCCTCAAGACCACCCACTCCAACCCCAAGCAAACAGAGGCACCTGGCTCCTTCTACCTCTTGTTCCAGAACTAACCTCTGCTGAGGAATCAAGAAATGAGTGAATAGGGGCTGGTGTTGTGGTGTAATGGGTTAAGCTGCCGCTGCGGCACTGCTCCACTTCCAATCCAACTCGCTGCTAGTGTGCATGGAAAAGCAGCGGAGGATGGCCCAAGTGCTTGGACCCCTGCCACCTGGTGACACAGATGGAGTTCCTGGTTTCTGGCTTTGGCCTGGTCTAGCCTTGGCTGTTGCAGACATTTGGGGAGTGAACCAGTGGATGGAAAAGTGCTCTCTCGCTTTCTCTCTCTTTCTCTCCCCCCACCTCTCTTTGAGTAATTCAGCCTTTCAAATAAATAAATAAATCTTTTTTTTTTTTTTTTTGACAGGCAGAGTGGACAGTGAGAGAGAGAGAGACAGAGAGAAAGGTCTTCCTTTGCTGTTGGTTCACCCTCCAATGGCCGCCGCAGCCGGCGTGCTGCGGCCGGCACACCGCGCTGATCCGATGGCAGGAGCCAGGTACTTATCCTGGTCTCCCATGCATGTGCATGGGCCCAAGCACTTGGGCCATCCTCCACTGCACTCCCTGGCCACAGCAGAGAGCTGGCCTGGAAGAGGGGCAAACAGGACAGAATCTGGCGCCCTGACCAGGACCAGAACCCCGTGTGCTGGCGCCGCAAGGCGGAAGATTAGCCTAGTGAGCCGCGATGCTGGCCAAATAAATAAATCTTTAAAAAGTATGACTGAGGGGGCCGGCACTGTGGCATAGTGGGTAAAGCTGCCACATCCCATATGGCACCAGTTCGAGACTCGGCTGCTCCACTTCCAATCCAGCTCTCTGCTATGGCCTGGGAAAGCAGTAGAAGATGGCCCAAGTCCTTGGGCCCCTGCACGCATGTGGGACACCTGGAAGAAGCTCCTGGCTCCTGGCTTTGGATCGGCACAGCTCCTGCCATTGCGGCCATCGGGGGAGTGAACAAGTGGATGGAGGACCTCTCTCTCTGTCTCTACCTCTCTCTGTAACTCTGTCTTTCAAATAAATAAAATAAATCTTTAAAAAAAAGAGTGAATAAATACAAATATTATACTTGGAGCTGTCAAATGATGCCCAGAATGTAAAATTTAAAACATTCTGGGGCCAGTGCTGTGGTGTAGTGGGTAAAGCTGCTGCCTGCAGTGCTGGCATCCCATATGGGCACCAGTTCAAGTCCTGGCTGCTCCACTTCGGATCCAGCTCTCTACTAAGGCCTGGGAAAGCAGTGGAAGATGGCCCAAGTCCTTGGGCCCCTGTACCCACGTGGGAGACCCGGAAGAAGCTCCTGGTTCTAGATTGGCACAGCTTCGGCCATTGTGGCCATTTGGAGAATGAACCAGTGGATGGAAGACCTCTCTCCCTCTCTGCCTCTCCTCTCTGTGTAACTCTTTCAAATAAGTAAATAAATCTTTAAAACAAACAAAAAAAATGTTCTGCAGTGGTTTACATTCAATTGCACGAGTTATAAAGGCTGTCATCAAGGATCTTTAGTTCCTAATTAAGTGGTTTTCTTGTAAATGGTCATTTTAAAGAAAATGACCAAGTAAAAGCATACAGCCAGCATTCATTTCATTCTTTCAGAACAAAGTCTACAATATAATTGACATAATCGCCAGCTGGCAACTGCAAATTAAGATTCTTGTAGGTTGTGATTAAAAATAAAACTGGCCTCACAATAACCACCTTTCTAAAACTGACTTTGTTTTGGTGGAACGAAACTATTACGACATCCCCAATTTTCATACAGAAAAGGCTCCTGGCAGGAGGAAGGGCACTGATACCTGTGCAGTTAGAAGAAACACGGCAGGAGGAGCAGCCAGGCTTCCCCCTGAGTATCCAGAAAGTGGAAGGCCAGGAAGACACAGCCTCGAAATTGAAACACTTCGTAGAAATGCAAACCCAGGCTGCTTTGATTCAGACAAACGAGCAGCTTGCATTCTCCCAAATTCCTGGGCATCCCCAAATACCACAGTTCATCAGAACCCATGACATGAAGAACGGCCAAAAGTAACCTCATGAATGAAGCCAGTCTGTTTAACTTTTTCAGCATGAAAATGAAGACTTATCTGAAAGTATCTCATTCTCTAAAATGTCAACACTCATCACAAAATTCTTAGAAGTTTCCAGTGTATAATGCATTTTAAATACTCTGAAACTGTTGTTTCTGGCTGTGTAAACATCACTCTGAATGCAGCCAGGCCCTCTTATGTAAGGATGACTCACCCAGTTACACTGAGGCCCAGGGCCCAGGGCAGTGTCTGCTCGACTTCAATTTGATAGGATTACTCGGTTGTAGGAAGAAGCAAAGGGAAAGAGACCTGCTCCAAGCATTTAACTTGACAGTCCAGAATACTTCAACACTGGGAGAACCGGGTCACTCCTCGCCTTTAACCACCGTGTACACTACCATCATACTGCCAGCCCCAGGGAAGAAAATGTCTGCAAATGCCACTCTCAGCATCTCCCTTACACGACCTACACAGACATTCACCTACATGATCTTTTTTCTTTTTTTTCCTTTTCCCAACAAAGGAACAAAACTCAAAAAGCACAGTCTGCACACCTACTCTCTTGTCATCTGACTGAGAACGTGGCCAGCACCTCTGGGGGCTGAGACAGAAACCCCTGAGGCATGTGAAACCCAATGCCAGCCAGCAATCCTGGGGGCCCAGTGGACTCCTCCCTCTGGCACAAGGACCGGGTCTGCTGCCCGACACCGTGGATAGTTCCTGTCATTTTTCCCAACCAGAGAGGCATAAGACCTAGAATATTCTGGAGTCCATGGAAACTGCTCTCCTGTGCATACTGGCACTTACTCGTGGTAAACTGCTCCTGACCCTTCAAAAATCTGATAAAAGCCCAGAGCTCTCTCACGCCCCCACTGAAAAGGCAGTGCACACAGAAGCCCCCACACCCCCCAGGGCCTTGCCCTGAGGACCCTGCACACCCACAGTGGAGGCAGCTTTTTTTTTTTTTTTTTTAAAGACTTGCTTATTTATTTGAAAGGCAGAGTTATGGGGGAGGGGGAGGGGGAGGGGAGAGGGAGGGTTGAGAGAGAGAGAGAGAGAGAGATCTTTCACCCACTGTTTCATTCCCCATATGGCTGCAATGGCCAGTGCAGGGCCAGGCTGAAGCCAGGAATTTCTTCTGGGTCTCAAGAGCACTTAGGTCATCCTCCATTGCTTTCCCAGGCACATCAGCAGGGAGCTGGATCAGAAGTGGAGCAGCCAGAACATGAACTGGTGCCTATTTGGGATGCTGGCTACACCTGCTACACTACAATGCCAGCCCAAGAGATGGCCAATTTTAAAGCTTGCATTTAGAAAACCAAGATGAAAGGGGCCAGCACCGTAGCTCACTTGGTTAATCCTCTACCTGCAGCACCGGCATCCCATATGGGCGCCGGGTTCTAGTCCCGGCTGCTCCTCTTCCAGTCCAGCTTTCTGCTGTGGCCCGGGAGGGCAGTGGAGGATGGCTCAAGTGCTTGGGCCCATGCACATGCATGGGAGACCAGGAAGAAGCACCTGGCTCCTGGCTTCGGATCAGCGCAGCACTGGCCGTGGTGGCCATTTGGGTAGTGAACCAATGTTAAGGAAGAGCTCTCTGTCTCTCCCTCTGTCTATAACTCTACCTGTGAAAATAAAATAAAACAAAACCACGATGGAAAGAAGGCGTCATACTTACACTGGTTGGGTGCTGGGCAGCAGCTTCATGTTGCAACCTCACCCTCTGGGGCATCATCACGTCATCCTGTAAGAGAGAGCACACCCTGACTTCTCAAAAAGCAACTGCACAAATAAGTCAAACAATAGCAAAATAGGCAAATGCACCCATTGGTGGACTTGGATGGGCGAATCCACCACGAGCCTCATGAGGGAAATGTGACTGTTCAGAGAGAAAGAATGAAAAACCCTGGTTACTCCAGTGAGGCCAGGCTCCCTTCCCTACAGGGCTGGGAAGGGGGGCACAGATGGTGGGAGACAGTCTGGCACTGCCCAGCCAGCTGGCAGATATGCGTCCCTTAAGACCCAGGCGTGTAGCCACCTATGGTAAAACATCTTACACAAGGGGCCGGTGCTGTGGCGTGGCGGGTTAACGCCCTGGCCTGAAGCGCCAGCATCCCATATGGGCGCCAGTTCTAGTCCCGGCTGTTCCACTTCCGATCCAGCTCTCTGCTGTGGCCTGGGAAAGCAGTGGAAGATGGCCCAAGTCCTTGGGCCCCTGCACCCACGTGGGAGACCTGGAAGAAGCTCCTGGATCCTGGCTTCGGATTGGCGCAGCTCTGGCCGTTGCGGCCATCTGGGGAGTGAACCATCGGACAGGACCAGCTGGGCAGCTTTGCCCAAGTGTGGGAATGACCCAGTCACGGGCATCAGCTGGACACACACTGTGCCAGTTACCACTGTGAAGAAACGTGTACTTGTTCTGCGCTGCTCCTTCACTCCTTGTCAGGTCTGTGGCTCCTACTTAAGTTTCTGCAGCTGCTACTGGGTTCCCTGCGGGACGGTGTTCAACAGTAGTAACATGCAGTTTACTTCTCCAGCTGATAACTCAGGGATGCTGGGTCAGTCCCAAACCCCTTGTGCCTCTTCCATGCACACGTGTAAGACCTTGACACCCCACGTGGCGCATGCCTGCGTCTCAGGGGACATGCGCCCTCTGGCTGGACAGGGCCAGGCTGCCTCATAGAGTTCTGCCCATCCTCTTAGCCCCACGGGGGATGAGAACCAGTGTCATTTGGAATTGAGAGGATTTATTTCATTTACTTATACTGAAACCAGGCAAGATGAACAGTGTTTATAAAGAAATGTACACACAATAGAAACCATAAAGAAACACAAGTGCATTAGGTCACAGCAGTGGTCACTCTGTGAGGAGAAGGGGGCTAACAGCAGGGAAGGAGGGTGCCCCAGGATGTGGCAGGCTGTTCTTGACCAAGCAGCGGTTACAAGCACACAGCAAGAGTCATACATACACACACACACACACACACACACACACACACACACAGTGGAGTCACATACACAGCAGGAGGCAGGAGTCACACACACACAGCAGCAGTTACATGCACACAGGAGTCACACACACAAGTGGCAGCATTCAACCTGAACAGGTATTTCAAAAAAAGCAGAGGCTGAGAGAAATCACAGGTTAACACATTTCTGCCCACTGTTGGTAAAAGCTCCGGTGGCTTGTAAGGCTGCTGAGAGGGAGGCCTGGTTTATGGCATGCAGGAGGACCATCTGAAGGACAACCCTCACCCACCTCCAAAGGCAGGGAGCACTGAGAGTCAAGCCTGCAATCTGCTGATCCCCAGTGCAACGCCTGACCCTGGTCCAGGCTGAGGTGTCCTTTGCAAAGGAGTGTCTCTAACCCCTTTCTGGAACCAAGACCAGCCCAGGGCTTGTATTTTGTTGGTCCCCAAAATATTTACTAAACAAGGAAGTGGATTTAGCTCAGCTCATTCATTTACAGAACATTCACACACTCTGACACTTAACCACCCTCTCCTACGGCTGGAGACAGAGAAGCCAGCATTGCTCTCACCGTGCAGCCAAGGAAAATGAAATTTGGAAGGGCTGTTTCACTCAGTCATGCAGCAATTGCATTTCATAGTTAAAACTGGACAGGATGCCTGATCCACTGCCAGGTGGTCCCCACAGCACTGCTCCTGACCAAGGACCTCACGGCACCACAATCAAGGGTGGCCCACTGCCAGGTGGACCCACAGCACTGCTCCCGACCAAGGACCTCACGGCACCACAATCAAGGGTGACCCACTGCCAGGTGGTCCCCACAGCACTGCTCCTGACCAAGGACCTCATGGCACCACAATCAAGGGTGGCTATGGACTCGTGCTTGTGGAACTCACTGGTCTTACCTCTTCCTCACCGTCCTGAAGCTGCTGGCTCCAGAGTGCTGGAGGCACAATGACAGGACCAGCTGAGCAGCCACAGGGTCTCCAGTAGGCTGTCTATGCTCTGCTTCGGGGTCCAGTGGATGGCCCTGCACCCCCCAAGTCAGGATTCAGGAATCGAGGGGTGGAAAAAGGAACAGTACCACTTGCTTTGACCCCACAGACTCACTATCAAAATTCTGCTTAAAGTTCCTGCAACTTTCTACTCTGCCAGCCTAGAGGTCTCGGTTCCAGCAAGAGGACGCTTCCTCCAGGGGGCACGGCAACAACTCCTCTGAACTGAAGTAAAGATGCCACTGGCCACCTCAGACCTCCACACCCCGGGTCAGCAGACTCAGAGGGGTTACAGGGCTGGCTAGGGCGACTGGTCCCAACTACCAAGGGGAACTGCCCTACTGTCCACATGGAGGTGAGGGAGCAAGTGTGTCCGGCATACTGGTGACCCCTAGAGTGTGTTTTAGGGTTCCCATGCCCCGAGTTTAGGTCTGTGTCTAATTACAACAGCCCAATCCAGGCAGGAGCGTGAATGCCACAGACCCGACAGGATGCAGGCTGGGCCACCCCATCAGCTTAAGGACCATGATCCACTGAGATGCCTGCTGAAGACAAACAGAAATACAGGGTGGGTAGACAAAGAGAGCTACAGCTTCCAGCAATGACCACATGATAGTTACAGAAACAGGACTGCAACTGTCATGAATGTGTGTGTATATACAAGGGTATTTCAGAAAGGATGTGGAAAACAGAATTAAAAAGTGAGTTTGGGAGCCAGCACTGTGGCATAACTAGCAGCGCTGCCATCTGCAACACCAGCATCCAATATGGGTGCCAGTTTGTGTCCCAACTACTCCACTTCTAATCCAGTTTCCCCATTAATGGTCTGGAGAGGGCAGCTGAGGATGGCCCGAGTGCTTGGGCCCCTGCCACCCATGCAGGATACCAGGCTTCAGCCTGGCTCAGCCCTGAAACCATCTGGGGAGTGAATCAGCAGATGGAAGATCTTCCCCCCACACAACGTTCAAATAAATATAGATATTAAAAAAAAAAGTGAGTTTGGGGGTGAGGTGGCACAGCAAGTTAACCAGCTGCCTGGGATGCCAGCATCCCATATTGGAGTGCCTCATTCTAGTCCTGGCTATTCCAGTCCAGCTTCCTGCTAATCCATTACCTGCACCTGGGAGGCAGCAGGTAATGGCTCAAGTGCTTAGGCCTGTGCCACCCACGTGGAAGACCGAGACAGGGTTCCAGGTTCCTGGCTTCAGCTTGGCCTCGCCCTGTTGTGGGTATTTCAGGAGTGACCCTGTGGATGAAAGATCTCCATCCCCACCCTCTATTGCTAACTTTCTCTCTGCCTTTCAAATAGATGAAAATAAATTTTGTTTTTAAAAAATGAGTTTATTTGGGTGTAAAAAATGTCGAAATCCATGCATATGTGTTGTCTTCAGAAAGTTCAGATGTGTATTATGAAAAAACTATGCACGGATTTTGACATTTTTTACACTAAAATAAACTCATCTTTTAATTCCATTTTCCATAAACTTCCCAAAGTCCTCTTATAATTGCCTAGTGTATCCTCACTCTCAGAAGTCAAAGTACATTCAAATACAAATCTCCATCACTTCTAAAGAGTCACCTGCCCTGCTGGGTGGCTAAGTAAAGTCAACATCTGCAAGGACAAAGAGAAAACTGAAAACACTGCACACTCACTCACCAACAAGCTGTAGTCCAAGGATGGACGCAGTGAGCAGACATTCAAGCCCGAAGAATGGATAGCAGGGCCGGCCCCTGAACCACTTCAGAGCCACAGTGACTGTAGGTTATAAATGAGCTCCTTGATCTCTCACCGCCATTCTGCTGAGAGGAGGGAGGAGGCCACAGTCCCCACTGCACATGAAAGCGAGGGGATGTTTGAACAGCAAGCCAGGCTTCGCTGGTGGGGCTGTGATCCCACCACCTTCACAGGAGGCGTCCCCCACAGGCCCCTCCTCCAGCTCTGGGCCAGGTCTATGGTGCTCACAGCTGGTGCCAAACACCAGGAGCTGATTTTAACTGAAGTCAGCTGGCATTCGGAATGCAGAGGAGAGGGGTTAAAAGGATAGAACTTCAAAAGCCCAGTATGCATTTCAAGTAGCTGTCCCAATCTGAGGGTGCTTTCGGAAATGCCATTATTTGTGAACCCCAAAGCATGCAAAATTCCCAGACAGGCTGAGATTATAAAAGAATAACCAGTTAAGAAACATTCTTGGCAGCCTGGGGAAAGAATTTAGATATATTCTAAAAATACCATAAATGCAGAATGAAACACTATGTCCTTTCTGACCATAAAAATGTGGAGTAGAAAAGGCTACCTGACTAAATTCAGGATTAGAAGCAGCAGCTTCTGCGTGAGGTACCCCTTACTAGGCAACATTCCTGGAGCTGCAGGCCTCAGATCCGACTGAGAGGCCCCGGCCAGGGCCAGGGTAGGGAGCGTGGAGGTGGAGGCTACTAGCAAATGAAGAAAGTAGGCAACAGCCGCAGTTTCTTTGCACGAGAGAACAAAAGTCCTTTGTGTTTGTTAAGCCTTCTTTGTGTTTGGCTTCTAGACAAATTAAGATTTGAAGACACCGCTGGAAATTACCTGATCGTACCAAACCCCTCAGGGAACAGGGCAGACCCAGCTGTTGCTGGGAGCTTGTGTCCAACATAGTGAGGTGACCAGGCTCTAGGGAGTTTTCATACCCACAACATACTAACCATCTCCCAGACTCTCCAGACACAGCTGGGGTCCTGTGGCTGAACTAGTCTGACACTGACCCCCTGAAGGCGGTGCAGACACCACGGGTCACAGCTC